TTCTTTGTAAAAACTTCAATTGAATTTCAATAAAGTTAAAGGCATGGCCTCACCATTAATATTTAAAAAAAAAACAATAATTCAATGATAATTCAATAATTCAAGAATTATTGTTCTCTTTTTTTTGGTCTTAGTCTAATAAATAGTTTTTTTTTTATATATTGCTCATGCATTTTAATAATAACTTAATATTAATATACTTTTTTTTTCATTTGGTCTTAGTCTGATAATTAATTTTATTTTTCTTAATATGTTATTTATATGTTATTATCGTGACTAATTTTTATTTTATATCAGTTATTTATTATTATTTAATGAGTCATATTAATGTTTTATTGTCTCATTAATGTGATGCTTTTTAAACACAGAATAATTTATAAATATAATAATTTAAATATATTTTATAAATAATGTAAAATTTAAAAAATTTAAATTGTTAATAATAATGTGTTTTCATAACTGTAAGCATATAATTGAAGATTATAGAATAGTCAATTGTAAAGAAAATTAATTGTTATCAATTAACTGATAATAGAATAATTAATCAATTATAATATCGAATGATTGAATTTTTTTTTCTTTTATCTAAATTTAAAAATCTTCTAAATTGTATGAATTGCTTTTTTTATAAGTTTTATAATTAATAGAGTATTTTGTTAGTAATATTTTCACATAATAGAATAATTCAAGTCTAAAACAGTGGATTTTGAATTAATGTTTTTTTTTGTATTTATAAATCAACAATAGGAGTTATAGTTATTGTTAATAGTATTTGATGAATATGAATATATAAATAAATATTAATTATAGTTCAATTACATATTTATTCTGTTATTTTTTTAAAAGAGTTATTTTTTTAGAATAACTTTAATGTACATAATGCCATAAGTAGAAATTTAATTAATGAAAATAAATTAAGATCAATTTATTTTTAGATTAATTTATTGTTTTATTTAAATATGTTTGATTTTCATTTGATGTATATATTGATTAATGTGATTTAATAAGTAATATTTTTATACAAGTTTTTTACTAAAATATTATAGATAAAAATAATATTTTTAGAAGTATTTATTAAACAAATTTATAGAACACATGTATATAAAAAAGTAGACAATACTATTTATATAAAAAAAAAGATTATTACAAAACAGAATAATTGTTTTTTATTTTTTTGCAGATAGAAATAGTTTTAGACACTTTCTATTAGTATCAGATTTTTCATTTTGAAGAATAGAAATATCAGAGTGAAAAAATTCAACAGGTATATTATTGTTAATAGAAGTATTTGTTTTATTTGCAAAAACATAGTAAAAATAAAAGTTTTATTTATATTTTGCGAATTAGGTTTATTAATAACTTGTTAGATAGATTCTGTATAAGAAGGTTCAGCAGAAGAAGTTTCTTTCTGAATTTGAAAGATGACTTTAATAAAATTTAAGGATATAGTTTTGTCATTTTGAAGTTTAAAAAAGAATTTTGTAAATTAATTTTTTGTCTTTTTTGAAGAAACTGAGATGTTAATATAGTATATTTTTCTTCAATACTTTCAAGTTATGTGTCAAGTTCTTCTTGTAAAGAAGTTGTTTTACTAGACAAATCATTTGAAACTTAAGGGTTACTAGTTAAATAGATTTATTCAATATCAAAAATAAGAATATGTAGAAGTTTTTTGATTCAAGTTTTAACTATTCTATAACAGATAAGACAGATCTTTTTAGATTATTTTTTAAAACATTATAATGATTATTTTTGTTTAGATATGATATGATAACTTTAAAATTAATTTGTTTATTTTTGGTGACTTTATTATACAAACACCTTGTTAGTATAAAATTTTTTTGACCTCTATTATTGTCAGAAATATATGAATTTGGTACTACAGAAGCTGAATAAAGTAATAAGGAAGATAAATTCAAGAGGTTTTCTTGGGTAAGAGTACATTTATTATTAAAATAAGATATGAGAAAAGATTGAATTATAGTGACCTGAGAAAAATAATAAAGTGTTAATTAAGTTTATAATTTATTTAATAAAAATAAAAATAGTAATTAACATGTACATATTCTATATTATCTTCACACACATAATGACCAACTATCAAGACAATATAATTTTTTTTTAAATAGAGTAACTAACAAATCAGAATTTTTGAAGAAACCCTTAAAAGTAATTTCTCTAAATTTATCAGTATTATCATTTATTCGATATATCACAGTCTTAGTGATGTAACTATTGTTTCCAGTAACATTTTTAGCAAGACAAAAAGCAATGAATAAGGATGACATAATGAATAATATTATAGAATTATACAAAAAAAAAAATTTAATAGAACAATTGGTTAATTTTAAAATAATTTACTAAAATGAAACTTTATTTATTAATCATAGAAACTTGATTTGAAAGTTTTATTATTTTATAATAATAAAATTACAGTATTTTTATAACAACTGATTAGCAAGAGGTTCAAGAAACTTTTCAAAATTTTACTTTTTTTTGATTAAGGCTTTTTTAATTTTCACAGATTTTTGTAAAAAGGTTTTTAAAAGTTAACTAATATTTTTATGTTATGATTCATTTACAACTTCACATTTTTTTATCATTGATCTGAGCCCGATCTAATACTTAGCTTCTTTTCAATACGCTGCCTGTGTTGTATACTTAGTTTTTTCTTTTCAGTACATTGCCTATGTGTTATACATAGTTATTTCCTTTTTATGCATCAATTGTGACTAAACTTTATTGCGAGTTAGTCATTTATTATCTCTTAATGAGTCATATTATATAATTCATAGCCTCATCAGTTGTGGCATATTATCAAGACATATTCTCGGAATCTAAGGTACAATTAAATATATTTAAAAAACCAGAAATATCACTTTAAAGCATTTGTAAACAATGAATGGAAATTTTTATTAAAAAGAGAAAAAATTGTACAACTTTAATAAAATAGTACATTGTATAAATATGTACTGTAGTTAATTGAAAAAAATTGATGCGTATTTACATCGTAGATTTGATTTGAAAATCAATGTACAATAGTAAATATGTTTATATATAGTAATATTTATATGTTTAATATGTATTGCAGTATTGGATTATTATATAATCATAGAATAGAATAAGATAAAACATGGCGTAACCAATAAATTTTAATATTCAACAGATCGCTCATAATTGTACGAAAAATGTTTCGCTTCTTATTAAGTAGAAAGAAAAAGAAAATTCTAGATTATCAATTAATCAGAATGGTAAAAAAAACCGACCGGAAAAAAACTGTGAATCGAGAAATAACAAAATTGATTATAGTACATTCACAAGAAACTTTTAATTTTTCTGACATAATAGTAAAAAAATTGCACATTCTTTTAAAAATATATCTGCAAGTCAGGTCAGGTCAGGTCTGCTCTGCTCTGCACTGCACAACCAAAACAAGACCATAAATTATACAACGCTTTCAACTTTGTGATGCGATAAATAAACTTTTTTGGCCAATTTTTCGCCAAAAACGGATCTAACACAACCGGTAAAGGTAAAAATAGAAAAAATACGTTTCACCAAAATCAGATCGCCGTATAAGTGTGTTAATAACCAAGGATTGACAGCCAATCAAGTGGAACAATTAAAGGTCCACTAATCAGATCTATTCTCATCAGACCAAGTGTAACGTGAAATGCACGATTTTTTAAAAAAATGTCGACAACCAAAAATTTTGTCTATGAAACCACCTTCTGCGCATTAATAAAAAAAAAATCTTTACAAATTTTAGTATAGGAAGGACTAATTTTAGTCTCTATTCTAAAGTCTTATTACTTTAACAATATTGCATGCATTCGATTGTTTTGATTAGTGTAACATCTTAAGGTGATCCTGAGATTTGATTGGGCTGTGTCGCGATTTTAATTATGTGAAAGTAAAATTTTGTCGATAATACTGTGGTAGTTGTAGAATGACTATCAGGTCTAGTTAAAGCTAATATTTTAAACAATGACTTGAACCAAGAACAGGCATAGTTTCAGTATGGCTTGAGCCATTCTGACCATATGTATAGCTTTGAATATAACTCTGGCCGTAATTTGAAGCTCAAACCATAATTCGGGCCGTAATTTTAATGCTATATGGTCTTGTTAGTATTCGGTATAATGGCTTAAGCTATGATTAGCCATAGTCTAAGCCATACTTCATAGCCTAATTTATGGTTAAGTTTTGCTTATATTATAGCTGTTAAACTTCAGCTATAGTTTTTTGTGGTCAAGTCAAGCTATTCAAGCCAATAGTATGTCTATTTTAATAATCACAATTTTCCTATCAAAATAAAGATAGGAACAACTAATTAGACTCAAAATTGATGAATTTACGCTCGAAAGAACAATCTTACGGAACAATCAATTATTTACTGCACAATTTATTACTATAATTTTCCGGCGGTGATTACTTGATAGTGTAACGCCATGACGTATCTCAGGAAGAACTCTACCGCATTACTTAAGATTCAATCATATTATTGGTTTACGGAATATTGTGGTGTTGAAAAGTTTATTTTTAGTAACAATATACAAAGTTAAGTCGCTATATAAGTTATGTCCGGCATAGTAAAAATAAAGAAAATTTTACGTAAGTCGGAATAACTGGAAAAATTATAATTTTTAGTTAATCTACTTGAGTAGAATTTCTTTTTCTAAAAGATTATCTGCAAGGATTTAGTTAAAACGGTAATCTAATCGGAATCGCTTAAGACTTTAAACAAAGATTAGTTGTGTATGTTATTTTTACGCGATAAGATTACGAAATTTAATTTTTAGTTGTACAATAGATTAGATATGTAAGTTTTAATTAAACATAAAAATAAATAATGTCAATCCAAAGATACCCGCTTGTGATGTAGCTGAAAAATTATTTAATAAATAGTGTATTAGAAACTGCGAATTCCTTTAACGAATTCTTACTTAACTCGCTTAAAATTATGAAGGTTGATAACTTTAATGTTGAAACACAAGAAACTATGCGTGTTAGGCTTAAACAAAAGGCTAAACCTAAACGTTCAAATTCGTTGTACAGCAATTGCCAACATGTTTTTAAAGTTGAGCAATCATTGCAAGTAACTCTGACACAAGAAGATTGTGAGGTGGTTAACTTACAATATTACGATTGCTATAATGGCACAAATGGTATGTAAATTATTATAAAGATTTATCATAAACTACTATAACATTTTGCAAACTGTTAACATTCCTATTTAACTTATATTGCAAATAAAGGTTGTCAAATGTTCGAGCCATCACCTCACTCGTTTTTTTACACTTGTCTGCCAATCGGTCAACATGGTATTTATATTCCTACTTATATACTTTAGTTGTATTATACCGATTTATTAATTCTTCATTTTATAATATTTCTACTAATAGCGTTAATCCCTAACGACGCTTCTGAAGTGCAAATGCAATACCAGAGAAATAATGCGAATGACATAAATAATGCTCCTAACTTGGCCACGCAATCGTTTCAAGAACAGCATAGCTTGGATATATCAGCCATATTACAATTCCAAGGAATATTTGATTATATAGAAATTTAACAGAGTAGTTAGGTAAATATTAGTTTAATAAGTAAATATTAATTTAATAAATATATAAATATAATTAATTTTCTTTGGTGCTTTTCTATATATCAAATAATAACTTACACATATTATTAGCGAAAGCACTGTTTAGGCCTTCTGTTATTAGCAAAGTTTATCGCAACGACGAGGCCAGTTTTCTAATTAACGATTTTGGGAATGTTTACACTTACTTTATACTATGCTATCAATAAAACGAAAAAAATTGTAAACTTTATATATTTATCAAAAAAAACAATTTCGTTATATCTGGGCAAGTTAACTACCTTTTAATCATCTTTAAACTATCTTTGGTGTGAGCTAGTTATCTTCAGGATGTATAGTATCCAAATTTTAAAAATTGAATATAAAATATTTGTATTTTTGAATATATTTAGGACGTATATCTATTATAATTGTTATCATAACTATTATAAATATACAATTTATTAATTTCAAAAATTAAAAGTGAGTCAAAACATGTAATTTTTATATATTTTTTGTTTAATACGGATATTCTTCTCCGAGCTTATTTCGTTTAAATATGTAATAATCTTTTTCTCCTTTCTTTATTGCCGAAGATTCTATTCTTATTCGTGTAGAATGATCTTATAAATTTTTACGATTAAAAATAAGAATAAAAATAGAAATTTATGTAGAAACCGACTAACGCTATTTGGTAAGCTAGTGTAACATTAACGGATTTATAGAATATATTTACCTGTATAAAATACACCTTCATTACCTATATCAGCACACTTTAATAATAGATAAATGTCATTCTTGACATCAACTCCACTAAATAATAACTACTAATAAAAGAAGCTTCATTATCATCACTTATATCAACAAATGCTATTAATGTTCGAGATTATTTAAATTTTAGATTAGAAAAGTGTTAGTGCCTGAGGATAAGATTTAGACTCCGATTTTCTTTGCCTTTTCTTGCTTTTTTTTCGTTTCATACATTTACGATTTGATTGGTTAGTCAAATAAGAAAGTGAATAAGTCGGTAATATTGGTTCATTTTAGTTCTCCGCATGCATCATCCGGGATTTGCGGACCGAAGCAATTTGCAATGTTCATGACTGAAATATCAAAGTTAGATTGGCTAGCTTGCTATTTTTAACTAGCCAATCTAATTTTTGATCGTTATGTGTTACATAAGTTACATATCTGGTAAACACTTGTATGTTTTATGGGAACGCATTGCTGTAATTTCAGGCATATAATGTATATTTAAGGTGTATGTGTTCCTTCCCATAATTAGCACATTTCAATTAAAAAGTAAAGAAAGGTATACAACATAATATTCAAAATAAACATGAAAATAATCTTCCTATCATTTATCTATTTCATCTATTTTACACATTATAATATGATAGATAGTTAACTACAACGTATTACAATGCTATTAAGAACATAGAACTATAAATTATTTCATTCAGCACGTGTAGGTACTGATACGTTTACACGCTGCATTAATTTGAAAAAGAAGAATACAATTTGCATTAGAAAAATGACGAAGTTGAAAACAAATTTTAATATTGTAACACCAAAATTTTATCGGAAAATTTTTCCTTTTCAAAATTCCTAATTTATCATTGTGCTCGCCTCGTGAACAATACGTATCTAAGCCTGCAAACATTTTACGGAAATTTCAATACAATTAGATTCGCGTAGATCCTTACCGAAAACATCAGATTTTTAATGAGTTTCCTTATTTAGAAATGGATATCGCATATGTTTTATGCTAAAGTGTGTAATCAATATTAAACCAATTTAAAGTTTTAAGAATAAAAATATTATACATGGATTTTTATTTAAATTATAGTGAAATATAACAATTTCATCGATATAAACATAATTTTATATTAACAATAAAATTTATTAATCTATGTAATTTGATTCCTTTCATTGACAAAATTCAAAGTATGCAAAAATTATTTGGTGGTTGTGACACAAGACATCGTCCATTTTTAATAATAATTAATGTTTAAAAATTTTATATTAAAACGATTCAATAAATTGTTTCCTAAACTATTGTGGTGATTAAATTATTTTTTTCAGTATTGTTTAAATAGAATCTACTACACATATAATTATTACGTAATTTAGTATTTTATAGAAAATTAAATATAATCGAATCAGAATACTTTATTCATAAAATTTTAAAAATCAAAATTTTGAATCTACCATTATCACGTGATGTTACTGGCTTTATATTATGAACTGCGGTATTACCTAAATTTATACTTTATTCTTAAGTGGTTTTTTATGCGGATAATTTCATATCTACAATGTCGTCAGTGTTCACAAATAAACTCTCATTAGTATTCCAATTTGATTCATCTACTGACCATTGTAATCTTTTCCAATCATTTTCAGACGGTTTGAAATATTTTTGTTTACTTGAAATTTGAGATGAATTCGAAAATTGCGAATTGTTTGATGTTTTAGAGAAATCAGAACTAGATGAAGTTTCTATTTCGGCTTCCTTATGTGATCTACTTACTTTATTAAGATCTAAATTATACAATGACATATTTAACTTTTTCCAATCTTCGTTTCCCGGTACAAAATAACTCCTTATTTCAAAATTTGATTTACTAAATTTAATAACTGTTCTATATTTTGAACATGATTGAACTTCAGGTTGTCGGTATTTATACTTTGTATTGTCAGCTGTTGAAGATATAGGAATAGCAGAAGATAAATTGCGCTGGAAGCTTGTACGAATAGTGTTATCGCTAACTTTATTTTTTTTTCGTTTATGAATGTTAGCTTCATTATCTGAAGAATCTCTAAAAGTAGAACAACTCTCATTGTCGCTCGAATAACGTTTTGCTTCTCTTACATCAACTTTACGCGTTATGTGCCCATCAATTTTTTTCTCTGTTAAAATAGAAGGCTCCAAAATCGATGTAAAAGGTGATGTTATTGATGTAGTGCAATACGTAGAAACAGTGTCTGAATATAAAGGCTCTTGGGCTTTTAACAGTTGATCAGATAGTAATGTGTCATAATTGGTTGCTTCCTTGTATTGATTGCATTTGGAACTAATTGGGTAGATTTCTTCGAAGATCACGTTCTGTAATCCAAAAAAAAAAGATTACTAAAAAGCCAAACTAAATTAGATATTATAATAAGTTTTAAGGTTAGTAACCATTGATGCGGACTCATCTTCAAGATCGGTAATTGTCTTTGGGCTATCAGCTTCACTTGGTAAGATCGTATTTTCATCAGTTGATTCTGACTCACTATGAATATTAGACATTATCTATAATATATCAAGTATAAGAACAATTAACATAATTAATGATTATAAATAATGATTATTGTTTTATCGATACTGTCAATCTTGGAAATACCTTCAATTATAAATTATTTAACATAAAATATCCCTTTGTTATAAGTAAATTTGTGTGTTATTTATCTTTTTTAGATTACAATTAATCTTTAACAAATAAGTAAAGGAAAAAGAATTCTTTCAAGTGAGTCAAAAACATTTGAAGATCAAAACATAATACATATGAATGTACAAGTACAGATCTTTACTGGTTTTGGTCAATTTGTTACTGTGTATTTTTTAATAATAATTGAACAACGTCACGCTAAATTTGTTGATCATTTTTGTATTGCTTACATTACAATGGACACTTGGCCTTTCATAACATCGGTTATACCTATATTACGTTAGCGCATAACTTAGTGAATATTTAAGTTTACTTCTTCACAATGAAAATATGGTATTATATTTTATTAATCAACGTTAGGCATTTGAATAAATTTAAATACTATATATTTAATAATTAATTGCCCAAGTCCTAATATATTCGACTTGCGTAATAATTATATTCTTTTGCATTTTGAAATCTTTGACAGGCTAGCTGATAACGTGATGTACTATTTAGGACCGTCGGTCAATTTTATTATGAAATTTTGAATATCGATATTTATGCATATTATAACATTTATTCCAATGTTACTATCGCTATATGTAAATAAATACTGTAATAATGTAGCTGCACGACGTTATCATGCAAAACCAGGAACATAAGGTTATATTGCAATTCACAGTTTATTTATTAATATTTGTCAAATAAAGAATCCAATTTGTTAAATTTAAAATTTCAATATTATTGGGTAAGGTCAAACCAATTTGATTTAGTGATTTAAATTATTCTGTTTTACCATTTATTCTAATAAAAAAAAAATTTAGAATATATATGACTTTCTGAAAAATTCTGAAAAAAATTGAATAAACATGGAAGGTGAACAAAGTTAGAAGGATCTTTTTTGGTTGAAAAAAAGTTTGATAAAATTTCTCATATAAGCAATCATTTCTTCTCTTTTAAAAAAGGAATGTAAACCAATAAATTAAATTGATCTGCCTAACTTGTTAGACATACATGTCATGGATTATAATTATGCTATTTCTTTATTTTTATTATTATCTTTTTCATATTATATCTTTATATTTCATCTGATTATTTATATTTAGCTTAGTTAGTTTAGTATTTCAAATATGATAAAATGACAGATGATTATTATAAGTATATAATAAATTGGTATTATACAAAAATGCAAATTAGAACAGTCATGTGGAAATCATAATAATATGTATTGTTTTTAAAAAAATTTTTTTAAAACAAATTTAATTTTTTATAACTGCACACAAAAAAAGAATAATGCTTACACTTGTTCTAATTATAAACATCAAAAAATGGTTTAATTGTAAATGATTAGGTCTTCTTTTCATTTTTTATTTGATATGAAGATGTGATGAATTGTAAATGAAATCTGTATAAGACTTTGTCAATCATCTAGTTAGATTGATTAACATCAGCTTGTATTAAGCTAATTTTAAAGCTAATTTTAAAGTTAATATTAAATTAGAATTAGATAGAGTTAAAAAAGAATTTAGAATTAAAAGTATATGTTAAAATTATAAGAAAAATTCTTGATAGAATGCAAAAAGTAGTTTTGTAAATGATATTTTAAGATAGATAATTAATTTTATTAACTATAATTGACAAAACTTAACACAGATTTCTCACTTGCTAATGAATCATTATTGTATCAAGTAAGCATTATGTCACAGATTTAGTTTGTGCTATAACTGTATTAACAATATAAATAGTAACCAATCATATCAAAAAATATTATTAACTTAAACATTATTATTATAGACCTCTTAATATAGTTCTCAATAACAAGAGATCAACATGTATAAGGTATTATCAAGTTGGAATAAGTAGAATGATTATTTTATTACAGAAACTGTATACAGATATAACAAATATTCATGGTCAATAAAATTAGATTAAAAGCAACTAATAATATTTTAATAAATTATTATAATGTAAGATAGTTTTATTAAAATAATAAAAAACTTACAGTAGCAATTATAAATAATAGAGTAAAAAAAAATGGTTAAATCACATTATTTTGTACAATTAAGATGAATTCTTGAATTTGTTTTATTATATTCATAAATAATATTTTTTTTCAATATTAGAATATTAGAAATAGTCATTATTACTAATACAAAGATAATTGCAAATGTATTACAAAATAGGTAATACATTATTTTTGATTATTTTTAACTAAAATCAATATACATGATCTGTAAAATATAAATACATATAAAAATAAATTTTATTATAATTATTACATCTTGTGCAATATTAGAATTAATTAATAATCAAACAAAAAAAAAGAGACATACAACTTTTATTCAAAGAACCTATATATTATTTTTATTTTAGAAAAAATACACTATAAGGCAAATAGGTTAGGCTGTAATGTTTCTTCTTCTATAGTCTTACAAATAAGTCAAAAGTAGTCAAAACATCACACACTTAAAGATTTTAGAAAGATTAGTCACTCACTAAAAGTAAGTAAACCAATCCAAAAAATGATTACAAATTTAGTTATCTTTAATTAGTGCTCTAATGCTATACAAGTATAGTCCTACTTAAAGCAAATAAAACTTTAAAATTTCTGAGTTTATTATTTGTTATATACTTCATAGTTATGGTTAGTGTTGGAAATTAAGAGAAAAAACTCTATCTTAGTAAATCTGTTAAAAAAAATAGTACTAATTTGCAAAAAATTAAAAATTAAACTTAAAAACTGGTCAAAAATAATTTGGTCTAATAAGTCTAAGTTTCAAATTTTGAAGTTAGATGAAAAATAGTACTATTAAAAACATCCTAAAAAGCCATTAAATTAGTTTTATATTAAAGCTACAATAAAGTTTAAAGATGGCTTAGTTATGATTTAAGCTTGTTTTACTTCTTGCAACATTGACAGCTTTTGCAATATCAACAGCATAATGAAAGTTGAATTATACTAACAAATACTTAATGAAGATTTTTTAGAAACTGTGAGTGATCAAAGATTTAATATTAAAAATATTAGTTTTTAACAAGATAATATAACTTTATATATAGCAATTTTGACCAAATGTTTGGTTAAAAAAAATAAAATTAGGTTTCTTGATTTGTTTTCTAATTACCAATCTCAACTTTATTAAACACTTGTGGATTGAGGTAAACTAATATCTTAAAAACCTTTTTAGTCAAATTTCAAGTAAACAAAACCTTTAGAAAAAGATTCAGTAAGTTTTGCAAAAATTAATTTCAAAACTTGTATAGTCTAATTAAATCAATGCCAATATATATTTATAATGTAATTAGAGCTCAAAGTGATTACACTTGATGGTAAAGATAAAAATCAATTAAAATAAAATTTTTTTTTGCATTTTACAGTAGTATTACTATAAAAAATAAGCAAAAATAATACAACACATCAATTTAAATAAAGCTTGTACTTGTAAAAAATTAAGTTCATTTTTTATTTAATTTTATTAGTAAAAATAATATTATTGTAAATTTAATAAAAAAAATCAAGAATTTATTTTGAATTGCATAAAATAATATGATTAAATCATTTTTTTTGTTTTATTATTTATGATTGTCACTATATTACACTTAAGTAATATAATGCAGCTTAGTTAAATTTTATATAATAAACATGTTTAATCTGTTTGACACAATTTTTATAAGATAGTTAGTTAAATAAAATTACTGCAAGTCTGCATATATAATATGTATTAGATAAACAAGGTATAAATTAGGATACTTTACTATTTAGAACTATACCCAATTAGAAACTGTATTTGTATACAACATTTTACTCTTTATTTAACTATACACTTTATTTTATCTTGTTTCTAATATATGTAATATCTAATACCTAATATATCTATATAACTATTAAGCTAGGGACCAATTCTGTAACTCTCTTTATAGATCACTTGTACCAAATTTTGCTAAAAAACATTTAATTATTTCTCATAATTTTACTAAATAAACCTTACTTGTA